CTGATCGATGTCATACTCATATTGCATACACGATAAGTGAGAATGTGTAAGGAGGGGAAAAGAAAGCGAACCTCCATGGTCCATAAACAGAGAGTACACAGTCCAACTGTGCATACATACTAGCTCAAGCATTTTAGTCTGATATGATACTAAACAAAAGAAGTAGGGAGCGGTTGCGACCAAAAGCGACTCTGTGAATTAGTGGAATGAGCCACATGACTAATCCGCCCCCCGCCCCCCTCCCAAACCCGGTGCCTCTTCCGTACTGATGAGATGTAATTCTACTATGTAGGGTTATTGCATCTGTTCACTAAAAAGAACGGATTTGATTCGGCAACCCCAATCAATCCAAATGTCACGGGATCTATCAGTTTCACACCGTTTGAGTCAACTCATCGCTTGATGACAGACAGATGCACTTCCAAGAGAATGCATAGCTCTAGTCCACCGGNCCACCGGGTGTGATGCAGCTGTCAATAACAACAACAACAACAACAGGGAAAACACATCGAGTCCTCTATTGTGATGGTGTTCAAGTGGTCTAGGTCGCTCATAATGGCCCTAATGTCCGAGGTTCAAACCCTACACCACTACTACCAAATACCGGTGGTGCCTAGCTTTAATGTCGTTCGGATGAACGTCAAGTCTATTCGAACCTATCCTATCCAAATTTGGGTCTTATGTGACTCGACATTCTCTGGCTCCCTCCACTCATAGGTTACCATGAAAGAGCGACAGAGTTCATCCAATCATGGTGTGTAACAAAAGTTATGGCTTCACCATAACACGGGGTATATGATCGGTTGAACCCTGTAGCAGTACTAAGTAAAATGCATGAGCAAAACACGAATGAAACATGGAAACTTTATTAATTATACTGCTCAGAAAGCCTTTACCTAGGTCGTCAGTCAGTATAACGCTATTTCGTGTTCCCTAAGGTTCAGTACTTGCGCCTACCCTCTTCCTTCTATTTATCAATGATCTCCTTTCCCAAAATGCCAACCCGATCCATTCTTTTGCTGATGACCCCACCCTCCACTGCTCTCTCTCCTACCACACTGCTCACCATGCCCAAACCAACACTGATGGTGACCGTAGTGAAACTAATGTGTCAGTGGACTCCGATCTCGAACACATCTCCTCCTGGGGCATTGTAAACCACGTTCCATTCAATAGTTCTAAAACCTCTATTCTTTCAATTTCTTTAAAACACCATTCATGCTCCCCTCATTTATCTTTTGGCTCTACTCAACTGCATTACACAGACTCCGTTTCCCTTCTCGGATTGCCTATAACTTATTATTTACGCTGGTCTCCTTTAATAGCTAAGATTGCTTAACGTGCTACGCGCAAGGTTGGTTTCATCGCTTGCGTCAGACGTTTTTCATCCCAGTTCATTTTCCTTTCCTGTACAAAGTTCAAATCCGTCCGGCTCCTGAATACTGTAGTCACGTGTGGGGTGGGGCTTCGTCTTCTTCACTTTTCCTTCCTTGATCGTGTTCAACGAAAGGTCATTTGGCTAATCGATGATCCTTCCCTAACATCTGGTCTACAGCCCATCGTCGGGTAGTTGCTTCATTGTCTCTGCTCTACCGCTACTATTTTGGTTTTTGTTCTTCGGAACTTACCTCTGCAGTTCCTGTTCGTGCAACTTTTATCCGCCCCTAGTCGTCCTTATCAGATTCCAGTCCACAGTCTTTTTTCACCGAACTGCCAAGTTTTAGAAAACACTACCACTTTCTATCCCCCCCCNCCTTACACTCTGAAAGCGTTGAACCAATTAACTGGATCTTACGTGAATGTTCCCTTACACTCCCTTTTACAGTATGCTATTGTTCAATGGGAATTTCCGCTTTTACTGTAATTCATATTGTGCAATAAAACAAAAATAAATACAGATTTTAGTGGAATGGTTTAAATGAAGGAGTACTCGTCAAGCGAAGTCAACGCGTGACCACTCAGCAGTGGAAAGTCATGTACAACCCGTTCACTCTTGTTAGGAGTCGTTGGCAGTGTGCATCTCCACAGTTGGAATTCGAACCCCGAGTAGTAGTCCAAGGCAATATCCACTGTGACAGTTGTACATGTTTAATTCTTTCATTGTTACTATTGACTGTTGTCAGTAGTCAAACTCTTTTCGGACAATCTTCCTTGTTTCCTGTTTTCCTATTGGTTGACTGTAATCCGTCTTGGTCTGTCTTTNGGTCATCTTTGCTCACTGTTTTGCTCTGATCACCACGCATCGGTGCTCTTTGTTGGACTGCTGGTCAAACTACTTCCAATGTACGTTTCTTTTCGATTCCAACCTTGTTGTTTACCATACCGTATGTTAACATATTGTTTTATTATTACAGAACCACCAAAGACAAGAATCCGAGACGTCCTGACTATCTTCTGATATGGATATTGACCTCGGGATGCGTAAATTCGATCAAAGGCTAGAAAAGTACCGTACGTACGAATCGCGTAACAATAAAGTTACTCGAATTTGATCAAATCATGAAAAATAATCCGCCAGAATTATCATTCTACTCCACAGCGGTGTCTGAAAATTTGGCTGATCGTGTTGACCTCGAGCGACAGCGCCTGGATATCGAACTTGCAAAGTTACGATTGTTAGAACTTGATAAACGTATCGAGCTAGAGAAATTGCAACTGTTGCAAAAGGAAGATGACGAATCGAAGGAAGTCAAGAAACCTCGGCTTGTATGACCCGTCCATGAATACCAGGTGGAATTACCGAAACGTGTGATCCTTAGATTCGACGGCAATCCGAAATCGTACTGCGCATTTATCAAGCAGTTCCATTCCATGGTTGAAAAGAAGACCAAGGATAACGAAACCTGCCTCACCTACCTGATTCAGTATTGCGAAGGATAAGCAAAGGAAGCAATTCAGCACTGCATGATCTTGGAACCGGACGATGAACTCATGCGAGCCAAAGAAATACTAAAGAAGAGGTTTGGTCAAAGTTATATGATCGCCCGAGCTTTCATCGACGGTTTGATTGATGGCCCTCCANTAACCACCCTCAGCCAACAGATGCAAGCCTGCGTTGCTACCCTGAGACAACTAGGATATCCGTCAGGCTTGAATTCTAGTCGAACCATAGAGGCGATTGTCATGAGGCTGCCTTCTCAGTTGCGCTTCAAATGGGTCGAAGTCTCCACCACCTTGATACGCCATGGAAAAGAACCTCAGTTTGACGAACTGGCGTCGTTCATTG